CCCCCCCCCAATTTGAGGGAGAGGAGGGGAAATGGAAAGAGCCCAGAGGTTAGAATAGGTCAATGAAGGCCTGTCCTTGAGTTTCCCATAGCAGCTTTTTTTCCCAAAAAGAAATTGGCGTGTGGAGCATGGGGGCTGCTGTTGGAGGTCTCTGCACAGACGGCAAGCCGCCCCCGTCCCCACGCCTTCTGGGGAGAACAAGGAGTCCTTCTGAGCCCAAACCTTCCTGAATTGTTTTTAAGTCCTTGTGGGTCTTAGGTCAATGAAGGCCTGTCCTTGAGTTTCCCATAGCAGCTTTTTTTCCCAAAAAGAAATTGGCGTGTGGAGCATGGGGGCTGCTGTTGGAGGTCTCTGCACAGACGGCAAGCCGCCCCCGTCCCCACGCCTTCTGGGGAGAACAAGGAGTCCTTCTGAGCCCAAACCTTCCTGAATTGTTTTTAAGTCCTTGTGGGTCTTGGGGAGCCCCATTGGGGTGCACATGCGCCCACACGTGCCCCGTTCCTGCCTCTCCCTCCCTCCCTGGAGAGCAGAAGGCCGGAAGGTGTTCTGCGCTGTGTATCGGAGTCCTCGCTGGGTTCTGATCCGGCTCTCTTGTTGAGAGGGCATCATCCATCTGGAGGGGGGGCACCCCAGCCAGTTCCAGCCAGGTGTTAACCAAAACAAACCTCCTGGGACTGTCGTCTCCTTGCTTGACAGCTCCTGTCAGTTGTTGCCAGGAGGTGGTGAGCCAGAACTGGCTGCCCTCATCCAGCAGGGGAGGGAGCGATGAAACCCTACCCCCCCACCCCGCTTCAGGGGCCCAAGGAAAAAGCGGTGGACAGGGCCTGCCTCCTTCCCCCCAGGGCGGGTGTGGGGGGGGTGCCCTGCTTCAGGCGGCCAGAGCTCAGGGGAGTTCTGTGGGGAGCTGCAGGTGGGCCCAGGCAGAGGGTGTCTGTCTGGCCCAGCCTGTGTGTAGGGGGGTGGGGGTCAGAATCGGTCCTTTCTTCTGCTGCCCAAACATTGAGAAGGAAGCTGCAGTGAGCGGTTTTTCTCTGGGCATCGAAGGCAACGCCGGTGCACCTCCCCCAAGGACGCGGTCAGTCTCCCCCCACCCCTGAGCGCCTGGCTGGGCACCCATGGCTTCCGGCATGCAGACCTCATGCTCTCCCTCACCCCCACCCCACCCCCTGGTGTGCAAGGAAGGGGTGCCCCATCTCCCGTGGCGGCCCCCCCATAACCCCTTGGTGGGCTGTCTCTGCTGGTGCAGTTGATGGACTTGAAGCTGACGGTGGACGGGCTGGAGAAGGAGCGTGACTTCTACTTCAGCAAACTGCGGGACATCGAGCTGATCTGCCAGGAGCACGAGAGCGAGAACAGCCCCATCATTGCAGGCATCATCGGCATCCTCTATGCCACCGAGGTAAGTCCCGGGGGCTGGGGGCCAGGGTGGGGAGGGGGAGGGAGGGAGAACCTCTGCCCCCCCCAAGAGCACCTGCCTCGAGTGCCCCCTCTGATGTGCTTGCAGGAAGGCTTTGCCCCCCCTGAGGACGAAGAGTTGGACGAACCACATCCGGAGGAACAGGATGAATACTAGCTGCGTCTGCCTGCGTGCGTGCGCTCGCTGCCCCGCCATGACAGATTGCCCCACGCTCCTCACTGACCATGGACATTTAAGGTTTCGCATTGTACAGCCTCGTCCTGCACAGTCACACATTATAACAGGTTTCTACCGACCCAAGAGGCCTGCGGTGGTTTCTCTGTCTTTGGAGGCCTACGCCAACATGGTCCCTAGGCATCGCTAGAGGGAGGCGGTCTGCACTGTAAATAGGCTGGGGGGGGCAGTGGGATGCCTGGTCCCCCCCCGTCCCCTTGCCCCATCCCACCTCATCTTCCTTATTTATTGATTTCAGTTGTCTTGGGCGTGAACGCTCCCAGTGGCTTGTATGATATGGAGAGAGAAATTCTTTGTATATTTTTCCGTACCGGATTTCACTAGCACTTTTCCTGTCGTGTTCATGGCTCCGCCAAGCTCCGCCCCCTTCCCTTGCTTCGGAACGCGTGTGAGCTGGGGGACCGTGCTCACCACGGGAAGCTTGCTCAGGGGGCAGAGGGAGCGGGGAGGGAGGGGGCGAACTTGGCCTTGGAGGATTTTATTTATTTGCAGGGGAGGGGTATTTTAATGATACTGCTGAGAATGTGACTTTTCCAGCTGCTTTACCTGACATAGCGAGTGGGCTTGAGGGGAGGAGAGCCGAGCAGAGGGCGTGGTTGTGCCGCTTGGGGCTTTGCGAGGTATCCTGGAGATACGGCAGGCGGCGGTTGGGAAGAGAAAAGCCAACAGAAGTCCCTTCTCCCCCCCCCCCAAGAATGTTTGGTTCCGTGTAACCATCTCTTTTGAGTTCCAGCTGTTGCCCCTGGGACCTGCTGTGGGGAGGGGTTGAGGCCTCTGCCCCCCCTCCCCTAGCCCCACCAAGACGTAGCTCATGCTGTTTGGACAGGATGGCCACACGATCCTGCCGTGACCTGTTCCCTGTTTGCATTGCCTGTTTGATCACAGACACTGGTGTGCAGAGCCTGCATCTGTGTTGCGTTTTATTTAAAATAAACTGGTGTGGTAAAAGCGTCTGTCCAGCGTGTCTGTGCCGAGAGGCCCCACCTCCGTTCCAAGGGAGAGAGGCGTCCCTGCTGGCCCACCCCTAAAGGTCTCTACCCATGCATGGGATCCGAGGCCGACGGGAGACCTGTGAGCAGAAGAGCCGCCTCTGCCCTGGGCCAGGAATTAGGTTCTGCACTGACTCTCGGGGTGAGGCAGAGGGTTGGGGCCCGCCTTGGCTCTGGCTGTTACAGGAGTGGGGGGGGGGGAAAGAACCTTCCTCATGACTTGAAAGGAAGGTGCCATGGAGGAGAGGTGGCCATCCCACAACACCCTGCCTGGCTTTGGATCTCTTGCCCAAGCTGGGATGGAAGGAGTCCCGTGGGGCAGTTCCTCTTGCATCTGGCCAGGTGTTGTTGGGGCAGACCTTGCCCCCTGCCACAACTAGGGGGTCTGGCTGGTTTATCTCACCCATAGGGTTTGCAGGCAAAAACCTGCATAGCTGTATGAAGCGCGTGGTCTGGGTCTGTGGAGGCACAATGCCCCAGGGGTGAACCCAGCCAGCCTGGGGTGGTGTGGTTCCCTTTCCCCACCAGCTGTGCACGGAAACACTAGCAATCTGGCGGCCAACTAACTACTAAGAGGCTTGGCACTTCCCGTGAACGGGCAAACGGAGATGACGCTCCTGGGTGGATTTGGAGCCCAAATGATTGATGGGCCATGCCCAGAGAGAGGCTGCCAACCGTTCTCCGTCGCCGTGGAGAAGACGGACAGGTTGAGTGCTGCCAAGATCTGGCCTGGACCCGGTGTTGTTCAACATCTTTATAAAGGATGAGGGCCTGGAGGGGAAATTCATGAAATGTGCAGATGGTGCCAAACGGGGAAGCTCAACATGACCTGAACAGGTTGGACTGGAACAAATGGCCCACATTCCTACATTTCGGCAGGAAAAACCTGACGCAGGAAGGAAAGTTGGGTGGCAGCTGCATCTGGCAAAGAGTCTGACGCTCCCGAGAGCCCCGTAGAACTTAACGGGCCTCTTAAGGAGGCCTCAGAAGTCTGTGTTCATCACAGCTGGCATTTATCCCCTAAAAAAGGGGTTAATTCCAGAATGAAACCAAACAACCATTTACACTCCAATCAAAATTCATCTGGGTATCAAGGTAAAGATAGTTTCATGGTTGCAATAATTCCAGCCAACATCAGCTTGTGTTTGGACAAGCTTTATTACTCTCTACATAACTTCTAAGTTCTATAACCACAACATCCTTCAAAGATGTTGAAAACATGTAACCTGGAAGTTACAGGCACATTTCAGTTAGACCAGGGGTCAGGGAACTTTTTTACCTTTTACCCCCTAAAAAATTTATATACGCCAACATTACCCCATTGATTTGAAAAGAAGGATCTGGATCACAGGCGGCCGCTGCCTTGCCACCTGTGCCTGGGCCGCCGCCGCCTCCACCTGGCGGGGCTGCGCTCAGTCCTTGGCCCCGCAGGGGCGGCTCCCTTTCTCCGCTAGCGGGTGGCTCCTGGGTGGCAGTCAAAGAGCAGCAGGTGGCTCGCTCACTGGGTGTGTGTGTGTGTGCCCGATGCCGCCTCCTGCTCTGGCACCTGCTCGCCAGGGCAGCCGCATCGGGCTTTGGTGTCAGGGCTCCCATGGGCCTTGCCGTCGAAGTGCCGCAACACCTGCCGCACAGAGGGCGAGAGGCTCTGCCAGGCCTGGCTGGCCGGCATGGAGGGGCCACCGAAGGAAGCCGCGCAGCTGGGCAAGCACCACTGATGCCTGACAGGTTCCTCCAGGAACGGGGACAGGGCGTGGGCCATTGTCCCGGTGCCGGGAGGCTGAGACTGGCCTGGGCCACCCTTGTGGCCGTGGCCATCCCCCTCCGCCACAATCCACCTCTCCAGGGACTGGAAGGAGAGGCTCCTCTTGGCTGGGGTGCTCCGACCACTTGCCCCAGCCTCGCCCTCTGCCATGGCCGGCCCCACCACTGCTGCCTCGGCTGCCATATGCCGCCAACCGGGGCCTGTCACCGGCCGCCATCTGCTGTGGCTCGATTGCAGCCAGGCCAGAAAAGGGGGCAATCGGGCAGCTGTGGACCCCCCCCTCTGGGCAGAAAATGAGGAGGAGGAGGGAAGGGGGTTAGGGTCACGTCCTCATCACCCCCAGGATGTTCACTTTTACCTCATTTGTGGTAATTTACCCGTTTCCTGACCACTGAGTTAGACATGAATCAGTCTCACAGCTGAAATATACGGTATTAATCGGATTTCAGTCCAAAATACGGGCGCATAAAATGTACAATAAAAACATCAAAAAGAATGTTTTAATTAATGTATTCTCGAAGGCTTAATTCTCACCCTGCCCTGCCTTTAATTAAATATTCTCGAAGGCTTATTTAAAACATCTCGCATGTTTTAATTATGGTACATTATAAAAAGAAAAGTTTTAGAAACTAAAAAGGCAAACTGAAGAAAGCAGAGACGTTTCTAAAAGGCCTGGCTTAAAAGCAAAAAACACAAAAACGCATGGTTTCAAAGCACAATACCTTTGTTCCGAGTGCTCACCCAGCCAAGCCAGTTTGAATTTCCGGAGGGAAACCCTTCCCGGCCTCCCTCGGGTCTGTGTGACCCTCCCTGGTGATCCCCGTGGCTGGAATCTGGCGTGGTTGCGCGACGGGCAGGAGGAGTGGTCCCCACCCTTGGGCCTCCAGATGTTCTTGGACTTCAACTCCCAGAAATCCTGGCTTCCAGCAGAGGTGGCGGTGAAGGCTTCTGGGAGTTGTAGTCCAAGCACCTCTGGAGGCCCAAGGGTGGGGACCACTGATTTAAGGGGTGGTCTGGCCTGACCCAAACGGATGCCCGCCCCGGGGATCTTCCCTGGGGCAGCCGTGATTCGAACCCACGTGCCTTGGACGGGGAGCAGAAAGTATATCGGGCTTGCCAGAGGCCTCCCGCGGAACCTCCAGCTGAAGCCGCAGTCTACCCAAGCCAGCCTCCCCCCCCACACACACACACAGGACATGCGACGGAAGTCGGCGTCGGGCTCGGCTCTGCGTTTCCGGCGCATCTCGCAGAGGGATCCGGGGAGGCGGGGCCCGGGAGAGTCACGTGGCCCGGGGAGGCGGGCTGGAGCGGGGA